CATACAGGACGCTCGAACGGCTCCAAAACTCCGTATCCAAGGAAACCTGCGTTCGAGTGAGCGCGCGACAGCGGTGCTTGTGCGCGGCGCGAGCGCGTTCTTTTTTCCGCACCCGTATTCCGACAAGGCCCGCCCCCGTCAAGCTGGGATTGGCCACAGCGATCTGAGGTTCTGCGCAAGGACTGCCTAGTGCTTGTCCCGCCTCTGCGAAAAGCAGGTGCTAGCCAATCGTAGCGCAGAACGCGGGATGCCAGTAGCCAATCGTTAGCGTAGAAGGCGGGGGCTGGCGGAAAACAGGTGGAGAGTCTCAGTGCGATTAGACAGTGATAGAGCTCCACTTTTCTAACCTTAACTTCTTTTTACACTGACAGAAACATAGCCTGTGTGTGTTTATCTACAGGCTAGAACGTATTGCACACTCTTCCGCTGGCCTTTTGCATGTCTGAGCGCTGGTTTTGGTAGAGAATGGGAATAAATCGCGCCGTCGTGGTCGCGTCTATTGCTTGGGGATGTTAGAAAGGAATTTTGCTATTAGTTTACTTTGCCATGTAATATTAAAAGGGTGAGTTATGTAATAAGCCATTAGGGGCTGTTCAGAAACTTAGCATACATATTCTCCCCTGCGCATTCATGTTAAGCACGCTTTCCTGTGAGGAGGGTTTCCTTAGCTATTTTTCTTATCACAGGTTTTGAAGGTCTTTCACCCTAAATATTACATCTGAGTGCCTAAAATGGCTGTAAAACTTATAAATTGTACATGAAACATTATGCATCTTTGGCACTACATTTTAATGGAATTAAGCTCAATAATAAACAAATAACCTCGATAAACAGATGCAGTAGCGTTTACACACTTAAAAAGGTTTCAAGGGTTCTTTGGTAAAGGCAATGGTTCTGTATAGCAACACAAAGGGTTCTGCTATTGTGACGATGTCAAGCTTGTAACAATAGCAGAACCCTTTTTGGTGCTATATGGAACTACATACAGCACACTCTCCTTCAATCTGAAGAACCATTTCACCACGCAGAGAACCCTTTAAGTCTGAAATGGTTCTAAGTAGAACACATGGCTCAAAATAGAACCATTCCCTTTACTAAAGAACCCTCGAAGAACCCTCTTTTTTAAGATTGTAGCCTAGCAAAATACGCTACAGTGTTGAATTCACGTGCTGTGCCAATTCGGGCACAGATTTTGCTTCAGCAGAAAAAAAAATAGTATCTTAACCTTAACTTTCCTCGCGGAAGTCACGTGCCAGCTGACTAATGACCACAGATATGTCCTAAAACGCCCTTCAGCACTCCAATCAGAAGGCTACTGAGAGGATAAATCTCGGTTTTGCGTGATTTTTGCCGTTTCATGTCAGCTAAGCTGAAGAAAACACGAGGAGCGGATCTGTTAAAGGGGAATGCCACCGAATTCTCAAAATTTCTTCATATTTAAATGAATGTAAGCAAAGTCAGAGTAGTTTGGTGTGAAATGCTGCTTTTTAGAGAAACTTACCGAATCAGAATTACTCACAGTGGTGGTGATAGGAACCAGACGTCTGAAGAGTTTAATGTCTCTAAAAGCTCCCTCACAGAAAGTTATTACATGAAATGATTGTGAATGCGCTACAACAGTTTAATTAAGTATAAAACTTATATTTTTAAAAACATATTAAAATAATTAAAGACCCAAAGTACCCTTTTCCCCAAGATTTAGCCCCGTATAGGTTCACTAATCGTTGTGGATAGTAAATAAAATGGTTATATTTGTGTTGTAGACATTGTGACCCCTGGTTTCTATCACCACTACTGCAAAGAAAGAGTCTGTATGTAGAAATTTGGGAAAACTGGTGGAGTTCCCCTTTCACAGTGTGAGGGAAAAAAATTGTCCAAGATCGCCCTCTACTGGTCTACTGGTGCATTTAGATTCTCTCTCTCTCTCTCTCTCTCTCTCTCTCTCTCTCTCTCTCTCTCTCTTTCTCTCTCTCTCAGTTCACTTAAGAGTTCCTTATGTGCTGCATCGTTATGACAAGCAATGTATCTGTACAGCGTTTGATGAATAATGAAATAGAAATATGTAAGCGTTTTATAACTGTAAAATGAAAAATTGTCCAAACATCAAAAACGCTGCAATAAAAAGAAAAGGAAAAATATAGTAATGTCTAATATAAACTAATAGGATCTCTCTCTTTCTCCCCCTCTCTCCTCTCTCTCTCTCTCTCTCTCTCTCTCTCTCTCTCTCTGGATGGAGGGCGACAGGCTCCATTTAATCCCACTCATGCTAACATTAAAGTGTACAAACTGAAGTCTGTTAAATGCCTATTTGCATATTTAACATATTGAACTTTAACATGGCAAATATAATTTACACACCATTGATTTGCGTGCTTGCGATCTGGATGGCTTTAAGGCAGTTTAACAGTTTCAAATGTTTTACATCATTCAGCCGATCGACTGCAGGCCCGCGGTCAGCTGCCATGTTCTTTAGCTCAAACGCACTTATAAATCAATGTGACTCCATTCTGTTCTAATAGAACTGAGTGGGAGGCCTGCACGCTTCCATTCTTCTTCTCACGCAGGGGTCAGAAAAATTAACCAGAATTTAATAACTAGACTGATTTGTAAGCTTTGGTATTGAGCTTACTGACAATTCTGCTTGTGATTTAAGACTCTGTGTTGGGGGGGCTGGGTGTTGGGGGGGGCTGGGGTTGGGGGGAGGTGTGGGGGGGGGTTAACTGTAAGAAAATATAATATGATGAGTAAGCAGGTTTGTACTGTGAGGCGAAACTGCCGGCTTTAGGAAGGAATGCGACATCAATCCTGAAACATATGGAAAGCCTCAATCAATATTTACTATTAATTTTGCAAATGAATGTCAGAGTGATAAAGTCTCGGTCGCGAACGAGCTGCGTTCACACTTTAATGTGCTTCATGGCCCCAGATCAAAACCATCCCTTCCCACAGTGCTCAGGAAATTGGAGAACGTAAAGAATGATGTGACAAATCCTGACGGAGCAAATGGCACCGAATTAAAATTATTGATTGCTGACGGGGCCTACAAACGTCAAACAATACAGAGGCTGGCAGCTCTAATAGCTCTTTGAAGCAGGCCTGTGAGGAATGACAGGCAGTGTTGTGGAGACGCAGGGAGAATGTGTAGTCCTTCAGACCATGGAGCTGGAGTGAGAGAGTGGGTACGCCATCCCTGCTCCATTTCATACAGAGCATCTGCTCACATTTCACTTACAGCAGCCTGACTTCACTGCTTATCTCACTGAAAATAAAAGCCCTGCATTAATAACACAGCTTCTGTTCATGGTTTTCTGGCCTCAAAACTAGGTAGGCTATTCACAAACATTGTTCCAAAGCATTTTTAATATAGTCCACACAGAGAAAAATAAAACTTTAGATCATATTTATACTGTACTTCTATGTGTACCACAGCTTATGCAATAGTAGCTCCTCACTGCTAGGTACATATGTGTTCTTACATCTGCACTGCAGTTGTGTCGAGTCCAGATTTTTAAAAATCTGACTTTATTGCACCACACTGACTGTAAGTACTTAAAGTATTTCAAATAAACATATTACAAGGCCAAAAATTGCGAAGCTAACAACATAAGAAGTTGTATAAAATTACATGTTTTCTCATTGGTTGATGGAGTGGGTGTTGGGTATCTGGTCCAGTTTTTTTGAGGCCAATTCAAAGGACACTGTGAGCCTATTATGCCAGTCCTGCTCTATTTAATCTGGTCCCCTTTATGTTTTGCACAAGTATTTTGCAATGTAAATAAATGCTGGAATATTTAAATATTAAGTATTGTTTACAATTGTGTATGTCTGTCTGTCTGCCCTGCGATGGACTGGCGACCTGTCCAGGGTGTATCCTGCCTTCCGCCCAATGAAAGCTGGGATAGGCTCCAGCACCCCACCGCGACCCAGAAGGATAAGCGGTTTAGATGATGTATGTATGTATGTATTGTTTACATATTTTTTGTTATTTCTTCCACCAAAACCAAAACAAAAAACTGGCATCATGTTTTTATATAACGGCAGAAACAGAAATTGGTCCAGCTCCCCTTAAACTGACTTTGGCCTAGCCTAGCTACCAGAGCCAGTTTAAGGGGGAACTGGTCACTTCTTATTTCTCCCGTTATATAAAAACATGACTGCAAAATTCCAGAGGGCGCACACGAGCGAGTCCTAAATGAATGGGGGTGAATGAAACTAAACGGTTAAAAACTAAACATTAAAATACTTTCTAAAGACTGGTTCAGGACCTTCCTTTAATTTTGGAACGTAGAAGGATGTGTTTCACTAAAACAACAACAACAAAAACAAACAAACAAACAATCAAAACAATGAAAACTTACCTGTATATTTCTGTTTTTCTACAGCAAATGAGTTTTGGGCAAGATGCTAGCATTACTGCAACTGAGTGCTGATTGGTTGACATTAACGTTACTGAGCGTTGATTGGTTGGTAAGCTGATCATCTTATTGATTCAGTGAAGCACTTTGCGCTCGCTGACTCATTAAGCACAGTTATAAAGTCCTATAACTGGAGTTCAAAAGCTCTCAAGAATGTCAGAGCGGTGTTAAAAATGTATTCAGAAAATAAATGCATTGTTCTACATAAAATAGTTAAGCATTTTCAAACCATGATTTTGCTCAAATGCTCCATATTAACCCATTCATTTTGGACTCGCTCGGGAGCGCCCTCTAGCGTTTCACAAACCCCGGACACATTACTGAGCGGCAGTTCTCCTCTCTACAAATTCTCTGGCCTAGCTACCTTAAAGGTGCACTGTTTGTAAGTATGAACCTTTAGCCAATCCTAGCGCAGGATATCGTATACTACCAGCCAATCAGAAGAGGGGGCGGGATTCGACCAGTCAATCGTAGCACGGGAAGCGGGACCTGAATACGGGTGTGGAAAAAAAATGATCCACTCCTTCTCAACACGAATTAACGTTTACTTTGGATTTTTTCTGACCAAAACCTTTCTTTTGAAACATGAGTCTGGATTCTCTGTTTCAGCAGATTTTACTGACTGAGCAACAGGTGTCAGAGAACACTCGTCAGCTTCATGAAGGTAAACAACGTTAATGTTGAGTAACGTTGTTTTAGTGTGGACTAACGAAAAGCAGGCTAGCTAAGCTACTTAGCTAACCTAGCTAGCGTTAGCTAACGAACGTTTGTCCGAGACACGGATTTGTGGATGAATAAATGTGTTAGAAACGTTACAAAAATAATGACAATTAAATCTTCCAGATACACAAATAGGATAGAGTACTCTCAGATTTTCAGTGTAAAATCAAGTTAACAAACAACACCTTAGTGCTAATGGAGGACAGTGTAAACAAACAGTGAGACAGTGTGTATTTAATTGTAGGTTAAAGGGGAACCCTACCGAATTTTCAAAAAACTCTACATAATGAAATGGTTGCGGTGTGAACAGAGTCGTTCAGAGTGGTCTGACGTGAAACGTCCTAAAGAAACTTACCGCCGTGGTAACCGTGGAGAGAGAGAGTGTTCAAAATGATGGTCTCTCTATCATTTAACTATGAATTGTTCACAGTGGTGCTGATAGAAACCAAACAACTGAAGTGTTTAATGTGTCTGAAAGCTGCATCACAGTAAGCTGTTGTAGGACATAGTTAGATACATGCTGCCTGATGTCTGTCACATTGTTTTATTATATCTTTGTGATGAAGTTTTGGCTTAAAATGTATTTTAATCCATTTAGTTTAACCCATTCATGGCGTAGGGATACATGCAGGATGTTTTGAGGCAAAATAATCCCTAAAGAAACATTTATTTAGGTTTATGACTTTTTAGCATCATCAACATCATCTCTAAAAACTCAGTAGGCACGTGTAGGTTCACTGGATGGTAAATAAAATGGCTGTATTTGTGATGTAGTAGACATGGTGACCCCTGGTTCCTATCACCACCACTGTAAAGAAATCTGAGTCTCTGCGTATGAACCACTTAACACCATACCACTCTAAACGAATCTGCTCACATCTCAAGGACTGAGTTATACAGAAATTGTGAAAAATTGGTGGAATCCCCCTTTAAAAGCTTCATTTTACAGCTAAAATGACAATGTGTTACAATTTTGACATCACAGGTTCAGAGTTCTGTGTACATCTAAGTGAGTCCCTTACCTGATTTTGATATGACCCTGTGATAAGTATTATATTTATCATATTAAGCGAAATCTGTATTCCATTCAGTAAAAGCTGCTATCATCAGGACTCAGGAGAAGATAAAGTGCTTTACTGAAAAGCTGGAAAATGCACTTATTGAACTGGATGAGAAGGTAAAGTACCAGAGATTTAATGTTTTTTCCTTGTTTTCCATATGTTCAATAGGGGCGAGCAGAATGACGATATCGTTATCATAATAAATTACATCACAATACAGTTTTCTGAGCATATTGTGGATATTGTCAGTACTTAAAGAACACTGAATAACTACATGTTTCATTACAAAGTGAGCATAATTAGACATGTTGTAGTGCAGTGCAATATGTAAAACATTGAATAAAAACGATTGGAGTTGTAAGATGACTATTATCATTATATAATATTTTTATATATGGCATTACAGGTTCAATTTGGTCTGTTCCAACTTATTTAATCTCAGAAAACGAAATATTTCGAGGCCTATCATGTATCGGGAAAATGTCTTATTTTTGCCATATCGCACACCTCTAATGTTCAGTGTCCAATGTGGTATGTTATTTATTGAGTATAAAACTATTTTGTATTGTGTGGTGTAATTACCTGTAATCCATAGACATTGCTGCTTCATTACTACATTGTCAGACTGTGTGAGAAATTGATGAAGACTCACGTGTGCCTACACTTTCTACTTTAACACCGTTTTTGTGGACAGTGGCCTCATAAAAGGGTGATTTGTTTCATGATTAGAACACTTAATCTATCTGGAAGGCTTCATTAAAGATGAAGAGGATCGATGGCAAGCGGCACTGCAAAATCAATCGCTAATTTCCGTTGGATTACATTAGTTCAGTTTCAGCCTTTCAAAAAACATTGCATATCATGTTTCATGTGATTACATGAATATACGCTCAGTGGTCACTTTAAGGTGTCTACCCACCATATAAGCTGTGTAAAGCATGAAGCATGACCTAAGTAGACCTCTCGTTAGGTTTGCTTTGTCTTTCTCTTTTAATCAGTGACACCCTGCAGACGGGCAGTGTTTTTTCTGTGGATAGGTGCACTGCAGGTGCATTTACAAGGGAGATGTGCATTATTTGTGAGGACAGGGTTTCATTTCTTGATTCCATTAGTAATAATCATGCTGAATGCTCAAAAAAATCAATGTAAACTAGACATGTGTTCAGGCAGCATCTGAGTGCAATGCTGGTGTCAAAAATACACTCACCGGCCACGTTATTAGATACCCTGTATCGACGCTCACTGTCCATTTTATCAGCTCCACTTACCATAAAGGTGCACTTAGTGGTTCTACAATTACAGACTGTAGTCCATCTGTTTCTCCGTATGATCATTTTATTTTGTGTCTGCTCACTGTCCACTCAATCACACACACCTCCCTTGTTAGACCACCATGTTAGAGACAATAGATCGTCTGTTGCTGCACAGTTTGTGTTAATTATCCTCTAGCCCTTCATCAGTGGTCAGTTTTTGACCACATGATGCTGTTCTCTGGATATTTTTGGTTGGCAGACTATTCTCAGTCCAGCAGTGACTCTGAGCTGGACACCAGCAGTGACACCCAAATAATACCTGCTCAGTGGTGGTCCTGGGGAGGTCGTGACGTCCTCCAGCATTTGCTAAACTGTAGGACTGTATTTATGTGGCTGTCATTGGTTACAAAATTTTCAGGCAAGATTAATAAAGGATCACACAAAAAAATGTGACGGCATATCAAAAGGAAGAACAAAGGTCACTCATAGGTGATGGCTCAGGCTCAGCTAAATCTCTTTTTTTTAACTCCTATCTAAAGCTGCAATAAGCTATTCTATATTATATAGCTGTACCAAATAAAGGGGCCACTTAGTGTATGAATTAAAGTATATTAACTGTTATATTCATTATAAATCTAGCTATGAGTATATTATATGCTCACAGCTAGAGCTGGATATTACTAAAAACACTTCAATATTGATACTAATGCTGTGACCTCAGTACAGATTCCTAAATGATAGTTTGATCGATATGTTTTATATTACAAACTGAAAGTGAGTGTGGCTTAATGGCAAAATGAGTGTGAGATGATGGAAGTGTATTTTACCGACTGCAGACCGATCAATGCTGATATTAATAACATGTATACGGAGGGCATGACATAGGCATACTTATTGGCTCACTGACGCTGGGACCAACTGCTTAGGCCTTACAATTTAAAAGACGCAGAATATTTCAACACTGTAGTACTGAAAAGAGTACTCTGTAGTACTCTTTTTCAAGACTCTAGTCTATCAGTTGGTACCATAAAAGTACTGCAGGTGAATACCCAGCCCTTCTTACAGTCATATAATATGCATTTAATGTTCGTATTATATACTTCCTGCTTCTGTCTGTGATGCTAGACTGAAAGCAATTACCTGAAGTCTTTCACACTTGAGTGACACTGAGGCTTGAATTCACAGGTCATCATTATTCCAATTACAGAGTGACCTACAAACAAAATGATGTGAATGAACACCACACACATCTTTGAGATTTCTCATTGAGTACTGAGGCTATTGGCTCTCCAGGAAGACATCAGTCAGTCTGGATCACTAACGCTTAACCATGCCGGCGAATGGCCAAATGAATTGTCATGTAGTCTAAATATTTAGACATGTGACAAATGGCAAATATCCAGACACCCCTTCTAATTCAGCTGCTTTAAGGTGCACCCATTGCTGACACAGGCTTTCACATACAGCTTGTATAATCTCCAAAGAAAAGCACTGACCAATAGAATGTAATGCCCTGGAGCAGCCGCACATGAGCCTATGATTACCATGCCTAATACCAAGCATCAGCCAGAAGGGTATAAAGACCCCAGCACTGGCTGTGGAGCGGTGGAACTAATGCTCTTGTGGCTGAGTGCAATCAAATTCTCACATGTTCCACATGTGATATAAAGCCTTCCGAGAAGAAAAGATGCTGGGGGGGGGGGCAAACTTCAATACCCTTGATTTCAGAAGAAGCAGGTGTCTACAAACTTAGGGGACATCTGTGTGTCACTCATGGCCATGTTTAAAGACTTCCTGGTGTAACTGGCAGAAGTTATCATAGTAACACAGGATAATTCTGTTGTGACAACAGGCTCAGCTCCAGTCAGAAGCCACTCTGCAGCTGTATCTGATAAAGAAGCGGCAAGAGCAGATAGAGAAGAAAAGAGAGGACTTGCAAAAGCAGCAGAATGACCTCAAACAGGAGCTGGTATGTATACGTGAATGTTAAAATTAGATTTAGCAGTATGTTCTGAATCTCTAAAACCGAAAGTAAGTTGTCATGCGTGTACACTGCCTATCAAACTTTTAGGGACAGCTTGTCTCCTATTGAAGTTGTCTGTTAATTCTGAGTTAAGTAAGAAAACAAAACCTTTGGAGGCATTTTAATGTGAAAAAACTTTACTTTACTAATCCTATGGGCATGTTTATCTTCTACACTCAGCTTTATGTTAATGAAGGTGTCTTCTTTTGTTTAAAGAGCAGGTTTTGCCTAAATAATGATTTGACAGTTTTCAGTTTTCTTTTCCAAAGTATTTGTAAGGCACATGTTGACAGATCTTTTGGCCTAAAATGGTTTAAACACCTGAAAGGTTTAAGTGCTGATGGATAGGGGATAAAGTGAATGAGATAGCGCTGTTACTAATGTTTACATGTGTTATATTATTGTTATCTCACTTATATTACTTGTATGTATTGTGTTCAGTTATTGCAATCCAACAAAGAAAATATGCTCATTTTAAAAAGCTAGGTGTCCCCAAAGTTTTGGCCAGAAGAAAGCACAATTAATTTGGCTAAGAACTTGTTTTATTTATTATTAATAGGTTTGTCATTATAATCATAATAATAATGATTCGTTTTTGTTCTCATTTCTTCAGCCTTTCCTGCATCTCACTTCCTCCACCATCTGCTGAACACACTCTTCCACTTTTTCTTCTCTTTCTCCTCTTTCCCACTGCATGCTTCCGTGGAGCTTCTGCTCTGGCTCTGCTGGTCTTCTCCTGCTCTAAGGTTGTCTCTGTCCTCTTTGGCTCTCTTCTCTTTCCTCCTCTGCTCCTCACAGGTTCTCTCCCTCCATCCCTCCAGCATTGGTCTGCGTGGTTTCTCAGCTTCTGCCTCCACTTCAGCAAACGCCTTTACAAACTTGGCCTCCAGCTGCAGTTGGTGTAAAGACTTGATCCTCTCCAGCTTCTGCTGCCCTCTCTCTCTTTCCTCCTTCGTCCTCCTCCTTTCTTTCTCCACCTCCATTCTGATCTTCTCCATCTCTATCTGACTCTCCCTCCTCATCATCTCTTTCTCTCTCTCCCACTCTCGCATTCTCGCCTGCTCCCTCTTTTTGAATTCAATCTCCATCTTTTCTTTCTGTATCTCCAGCTTTTCATCAACCTCTCTCCTCAGCTCCTCTATCTCCCTCATCCACACTTCCTGACTGTCTTGGTGGACCTTTAACTGTTTTTTATCCTCGTTTCTTTCGCTCCTCATCCACCAGATCATTCTCTTCAGCTCCAGCTTCTCAGCCTCCTCCTCCTGCTTGTATTGCTCCATCCACGTCTTCTCTTTCATCCACTCCTCCTCCATCTTCCTCCTCAATTCCTCCATCTGTTTCCTCTCCTCCATCATGATTCTACTTTCCTTCTCCCGTTCCTTCTCTTTCTCCTCTGCCTTCTTTATGTATTTAGCCATCTCCTTTCTCTCTTCCTCTCTCAAAAATAACGAAATAATAAATAAAAACATCAGTTAAGAAAGAGGGTTAGCTTATACCTTTAGCCAGAGCTGATTCTTTTCCGTACAGTAGGAAGCAAATTGTTTTGCTGTTGTAGTTGATTTTTTAATAGCTTTAATCTCCACAAACCTCTGGCGCTCAGCTAAACACAGAACTGAAGTTCCAGCTCAGCACACACTGTGTACACACAAGTGTCATCCATTGTGATGTCATCAAGTTCTGTTTTCCTTAGTTACTGTTTCTATTTATGTTGCCAAAGTGTCACCCATTATGATGTCATCAACTTAATAGCTTTGATGTATGTATAGTTTTAGTATGTTAACGTAGCTACCCCTAACATCGGCCGTCCCCCAATATCGGCCACTTGCGCGCATTGCGCAATTCCTCTCTCTCTCGCCGCCAATTGCTCAGGCGAAATTCAAAACACATAAGCTTGCGCCTTACAAGGGCATCTAAACTTTATTCTAGCAATAATTCATATCTGAGTATCACTAATCATGTGTGAAAGTATCACTAATAATGTTGTAATTCTGCGTGTACAAAACCGCATGGAACACACAACCCATTTTCATTCCGCGATGGATATTGGTCTGTGTAGAAAGTTAGCTTATCGGTTAGCTTTCTCTTCTCTGAGGTAAAAAAAAAGTTTGCTGCCATCGTCGTGTTACGTATATGGCGTAAGGGTGCCCACAGAGGACAAACTTAACCTCATTGTGAAGCATTGTAAGGCATTGAGTCTGGTAGGAATGATGCGTAAACGCCATTTCTCATTTGACTGGCACAACCAGGTGCGCAGCAAAGAGCTGTGCTCCATACTTAGTTAAACAAGCAAATCAGGCTGAATAATGAAACAATACAATAACATCACATTTTACTAATGAATATATACATAATTTTTATGTTTTTACAATTATGTACGCTGAATTCTAGACTGAAAGATGAGTTATGGAAAACCGGAGGTGAGGTGGCCGATATTGGGGGGCCCCCATCATTCTAGCAATACTAGTGTCAAAGTAAACAAAAACGTTATTATTGAAAAAACTGTTTTCTCATCATGTCAAATGACTCTTGGACATTAATCTACACACGTATCTCTCCCGAAAAACATTGATTTGGGTGAGTAAAGTGCCTTAGTTTATTTACAGTTAGCTTAGATTCCTGATGTTTTGTTTTGAGGTGGCCGATAACAGGGGTACCTACGCTACGTAATATTTATAAATGAATGTTATCAGTATAATTTACTTAATTGAACAGTTAATGAAGTACCTTAATGAGTTAATGAAAACCTTTTCACACAGTATTATTAGTGACTGCTATTTTTATAAATAAATAATAGTGTTGCTATCTGACGGTATACAGTGTCCAATGTAACATTTTTTTTCCCACTGGCCCTCAGGCCAGTACATCAGTGTTTTACTGGCCCTTTGTATGCAATACTATTAAAGATTAGACACCCATCATTTATTTAATTCCATCCAAATCAGCCATAAGAAGTACAGTTTATTCATTTGTCACTAGATGTATCTGAGGAGATGTGTAAGGTAGGTAGCAGTTAAAAAAAAATAGTGAAAAACCAGGATTTCTGAGAAAATAGAGCTTCTAACGTGTGCAGGCCAGAACTGAATGAAAGCTTTCACATTTGAGAGAGAGGAGAAAATCAAGCTCCACTTTTGCTTCAAGTCTGAAAAAATCCACTGTGAGAAGACAACTCAGCGCTATGGGTTTGAAAGGATGTGTAGCTGTCAAGAGCCTCACTGAGAAAAGGAAATTTCACTAGAACACTAGGAACAAGACATCTAAATTGCAGAGTAACTATGTTTTTATAGACTAATGAGTTTACATTGTAATTGGGATTACTTGGATCTTGAGAAACATAAAATGCAACCGAACCTCTGAAGGTGTTACAAGAAGCATGGAAAAATATCTCTGCAAATTTTTGTGACAACTCCCTGCATGAGCCCTTAAGGAGTAACTGAACATCCAGTTTCAGCTGTTCTCTGCCCCCCCCCCTTTCTTTTTAAAAATGCATGGGAAGGGAGAGATGTGTGGGTTAGATTATTGCTATTCTGGGATTTAAAGAGGCGTGACATCAGCACAAAGCTGTGAGAATTCATAACAGCTGCATTTTGATGCAGACTAGAACTAAGATTGTAACGTGCAATATGCATATCTTAGTTTTGAATATCAGTAAATGGAACACACTATAAGAAAAGTACAAAGTGGAATCTAAAGGGATTCTATGGAGTGATGCCATAAAAATATCTGTTTTTTCCCTAAAGATCATTGCAGTGTGTTTGTCTTTGAAAAGCATTTTCATAAATGAGATGAATGAGTGTGAAGAACCTTTTTAAAGTTAAGAACCTGTATATAATATGAAGGTTCCATAGCAATTAAAGGTTTTAACTAGGACTGTACGTCCAACACTTTTTATTTTTTAAGTGTACTTAAAACTGAGTAATGAATACATGCCATAAGGACCCTTAAAGCTGTGGTTGGAAAATTTGCCCGGTGGAAAAGCCAGTTCGCTATGTTGTTAGCTTTGGTATCTTCTTTCCTACAAACTAAATGAAGCAACTGCTCCTTTAACATGATGTCCAGTTGGAAAAAAAGAAAAACACTTAAGTAGCTTATGTTAGCTGGTCACTGAGCTTTATGTTCCCCCCAAAAACTCATCACATCACTGCCCGTACTTGCCTAATTTTTTGCTTTATTCATTCTAATCTGTGATTGCGGATTAAGAAGCCATTAGCACAGTATATCTGTTTAAGCCTTTGGCTTTACTTAAGTGCACCAGTATTGTTTATATGTACCAAGTATAAGGTTTTATCACTAATTGTACTGGGCTTGAAACTAGTAGTGGATGGTATGAGCAAAAATTTATATCACGGTATAATTAATATTACTGATGGATTCGGTTTATATCGTAATATAGTGTGTTCATGTATAGTTTTTCAAATACAACCATTTTGAACGCCAAAGTAAACGTTGACATATTATTCTAGATGCCCCCTCACTTTTAATAAGAACCATATTTTACAACTAAGGGTAAATCTAAATTATTTTTATTGGGCAAAGTAGTATAAACAGAAACGAATATTTTAGACAGATGACCTCTAACCCTAATGAGATTAAGGTGAGTGTGTGTAAAGCCCACAGCGGCTTCTCTGAATGTTGTTTTACGTCCGAAAGTCATTTGTTACATATGACTGTCTTTTGCACTCGAGCTTTAATCTTCAACTGTCAGACGCTACTTACCCCCCAATAAGCCCATTTAGTCTATCAAAACATCCTAGTTATTCTTTTACTGCTGGTAACATTTTCTGATAAGGACATTCGCTGACTTTTTGTCCAATTTTCCCGTTCCACCTTAAATGGCGCAGCAATTACATACTGGCGCCTGAGACTTCATAGTTTAACACTGGCAGGAATTTTTGAAAAGATGATTTAAGATAACAAGATATCCTACTTGGAGTTTTATGCACAGAGCTACCTATAACTATGGGCTAAGGTAGAGCGTGGGTAGCGCAGTTCATCAGAACACCTGGCTGGTCTCTACACTATAGGTTATCTGCATTTATTTGCATACTGGTATAATGGTAATGACAGCAGTAATACCTTAAAAAAGAATTTCAACTGGGATACCGAATGAACCAGTATGTCGCCCACTCCTATTTGAAACACTGCAGGTCAAAACCTGGCCAGACTACCAGTCTTTGAGTTAGACATTATTATGTTAATAGTATGTGCAGGAATAGTGTTTTGAGGGTTATTAACTCTTATTTTGTCATTATTACAAGAAAAGTATAGTAGGGTTCAGCCTGAAAGCAGGGCTGTGCTTTCTCCTCTTCTCCATGTGCACTGAGGCCACTGACAGTACTGTAGGGATTCAGGTGTTGTCACAGGCTTCAACAAATGAGAGAAGCTACAGTAAAGATTAGCCATTGCTCTACCAGGCCAATGATGGGATTCAGCTGCTGCCAAATTATCTGAATTGGGGGAAACTGTATGTTCAGAAAAGGCTGCTTTGTTCAAAAGAAGATGTTTACAGACTGCAGGCACACATTGTTAAAGTGGTGGTTCGGACAGAAATCTTATTCACACAGTTTCCCCCTTACCCCAATTGTAGTGGGACGCTTATACCACTTATCGTTGTATTAACTGTATATGTAAATGATCACACTTTTGTCTCAAAGCTTATCCAATTGTTTAGTGATCTCACATAGATTTGCTTACAGGGCTCTAGACTGTACCATTTTTTCGGAGTGCACAAGTTAAAATTTCACGTGGTCGCATTCAGACGAGTATGATGATCATTGGGCTGTTTAGGTGCCCCTCCGGCATGGGTAAAGGACTTCTTTTCTTCACTGGCTCAGTCGGTCTCTCTACCTGCACTTTCATCATCAGCTACATACAGGCGCACAGCGCACTGATGACGCAATATGCAAAACAATCCAGTTAGCAATCCAATTACTGAGTTCCAAAGATGAAGTGGTCCTGGCAGAATTTGACTCCCAGGTTCGTCATACAGGCATATGAACGCTACAGATTACACTGGTGAATTCGGGTGTTTTTGTGTGTAAATAACCTTCAAAGTAAACAGTAGAACAGGACCTAAAGCCAAACATAGAGACTCACAGTGATTTAATGACATATTATTTAAGAACGAACCGAAGACCTTGGTTGGTGGGGCGGCGCTCAGGGATCTGAACGCCTTTCAGTCATAATGATAAGCATTATGAGAACACAGTTTGCTTTAATGTGTTGATTTGAAACCTGTAGGACCGACTGAAGAGAGAATCTGCGGAGGAGAAAGAGAAATTTATGAGGGAGATCACAGCCTTTAACAATGACTTTAACCTGCTGAAGAAGAGGGATGTTGTGTTCCAAAGCCAGACCAGATCTGAGATACTGAGTCTTCAACTGGAAGCTGACACACTCAAGAAAGGTAATGTTAGATGCTTCCTTTTATTCCTTCTGTACACCATGATTTGTGAGATACAGGCCCAATCCCATTTCACCCCTCACCCCTACCACTTAGCCCTTACCCCTCCATTTTGCACGTTCATGCCTAGCGGTAGGGTGTCCTGATTTTTGTTGAGATTGAGGGGTAGTGCGAAGTGTTAGGCCTACATGGTTCTCAAAACGGAGGTTTTTCAGAGTCACACTCCAAACAGAGTGTTATGAGAACAAAAGAAAAACTGGCAAGTTGGCTGAACAAGAGAGCAAAGAAACCAACATTATCTTAGTTTAATGTTGTTTCAATGTATTTTGGACCTTTTCTTCATAACAAGCATAAAAAATCGCTAATAGTAATAGTATTTGACACTCAAAACAAGGGGTGGGGGTAAAAATAAGAAATGGGATTGGACCATAGTTCCTGCTGTTAGGCCTAAATGTTCATTTTATCAACATAGTGCTCTGATGTGTTTAGAGATGCAGATGATGAGGCAGGAGAATTCATGGCTGGTTTCCATGCAGGCAGAGCAGGGAGCACTGGAGATGGAGCTTCAGGAGGTGCAGTCAAAGCTTGCAGGTAGAGGAGGAAGGAAACAGTATGTCACACTCTGTTGATGCTCAGTGGTGTCAGACTAAATAAACCAAAATAAATAAACTGTATTAGTTGATACTAATGATAAAAAGCAGTAAGTTAGTTAGTATTAGCATAACAGTGGTTGAAATGAAATGATAGCAAAAATGTGGCATGCAAGCTCCAGAAAATTTAACCCAAATTGCGCTAAAAGTATTACTCCTGGAAGTGGTTCCAGACGGATATTAAGCCTGGCACTGGACTACATATTTCTTTCAGTTGAGAATCAGCTCTGGACACTGGCCAGCAGTTTTATATTGGTGCATTACTGTTAAGGTCACTGTGCTTACCATAGTGGCCCCAAAAAGTATTTGGACATTTGTACTTAAAAATGCGTTAAGTTCATTGTGTTAGGAAACACAATGTCAAACCAAGTGACATGTATTTTATACAGACTATTGCAAACTGTAAATTTATTTTTGGCAAGTATTCTTTCAAAAGGTGGCCAGTGTTTTTCTGATTATCATCATTTGAGCGATTTCTTTGTAGGCTACGGCAGGTTTGCATCCAAAATGCCATTATCCCTATAGTTCATGATCCCTACATTGAACACAAGCTCACCAACAACATTGTAAGAGAAATAGCCTTAGACTTCAGTGCTTCCACCTCTTCACAATAGGCTGAGAGCAGTTTGGTTTGGAATTCTTTTCCACACAAAGAGTCTACCCTCAGGTTAATGTTGTGCTAAAAGTGTTTTTTTCTGGAACAAATAACATGTTGTTAAATATTTTATGAAGTAATCTAAAGAACTTTATTGTTGTTTACCAGATAAAGTGTTCAAAATTTGGACGAACTGTATGTTACTGTTCTTTTTCTGTTCTATGTTTTATGTAGAGCTGGAGAGAGAGCTGGATGAGGCACGAGCTCTGTCTGAGTCTCTGAAGGCAGAGAGGCTCACAGCCAGTCAGAAACCACTGACAGACAGCACCTGCCTCAGGTTAGCAGCTAGTTTTTATAGCATCAGGTTTTGATCGGACTTTTCTGTGCTGTGTGTATTTTTCTGTGAATCTCTATAAAAGCTGGTTGGCTGTAAAACCCTCTATATCACTGGATTGCGTGTAGCAATGCAATGCTTGTCTTTTTAGCACATTTCAGTTTTTCCTGCTCCAAAATGCACCCCATCATGCACTCTAGTGCTATATTGGCTTGTGTGGCTATCATGTGTTTGCAGGAACACTGAATTAGCAGAGAAGGCCTGAGGAAAAACTTTAATGAAATGGACCTGGCCTAATATAATACCCATCAGACTGGACATGTGATTTACTTACACCAATCTTTTTTCCTTTGACCCAAGAGTAGCCATTCATTCATCTCTCTGTCCTCTCCACCTCCTTTCACTAAGCGTGTAAATAACACTACATAGGGCCCATCCCTTTAATTAAGCCTTTGATATGGCGCCCACACCATCCGGTCCATAGTCAGGCAAACCTATAAAAAAAACATTCTGAGCAACGTCCGGCCGGTATGCGAAGATCCAGCTTAAAGACAGGGGATCAATAATTAGCCTGTCTTGGGCAGGAAGCTTCCTCTACAGCCATGTAAATCATATGTGTGGGCAGCGTGGAGAATGAGCTGGGTGCTCACACAAATCTCTCTCATTAGTGGCAGGCAGAATTAAAGCCCCTGGATGTGCTGAAGATGGGGCTTCAGGGAGGAAGAGGCTGAACCCAGGATAGGATTATTCCTCCTCTGTGTAATCATTAATCACTCTTAAATGTCTGCCCCTCCACGCGATGCTTCGTTCTTTTCCCCTCTCTGTCTATTGATTGTTTGAAATTGAATGCCTGAAAGCTGAAATGAGAGCCGTCTTTGAAACAGGCATCGGCAGCATGTTAGGCTCGACAAAAAATGGCCGTAGAAGTGCTTTAATTAAAAGTATCGCAGACAGGGACGAAGTTATTTGTCTGAAACGAATGCAAATAGCTCAGTGCTCCCGGTAACCTTTTGTTGTTCTCTGCTGGTGTCAGTAGGATGCAGAGAAACCAATATGGATAAAGCTTTGTCAGGTCAATGATGCTTTATGAGAGTAGGAATATTTTTCTGATTAGTTATTAGACGAACTTTGGCAGCTCGGTTATCTCACTGATTCTCAGGGTGGTCCTGTTATAGGATCCCACCTTTCCAACATGTTGGTTCATCAGACTTTTGCCGCAGTCAACTGTAAGTGCTGTCACTGTCCAGGAGTAACAACAGCTCGGCCGTCGAGCAGTAGGCCACGTAATGTGCCAGTGCTAAAATACACAGCGAGAAAAAATAGTTGTTTGCATTAATTGTGTGCATGAGTAGCTGCACACAAGCCTAAGAGCACCACATGCAGTGCAAGACACAGCTGAAGTGGTTTAAAGCAAAGCACCATTCAACTCTGGAACAGTGGAAATCCTTTCCGTGGAATGATGAATCAAGTGTCACCATGTGTTACGTTCCCCTCAGATGTAGCTGGGGTAGAGAGGAAATAACGTGGCATGTGATGGAAGAAGGAAGGGAAGGACACAAGGACACAGTGCTGCGATTTCAGTCGTTTTTTTTTTTTTTTACTTTGTTTCCCTCTTGCAAAAAGTATATGATACAAGAATAATATTTACAACGAAAGAACAGAAAACATGATACAAAGAGTTGAGCTAATACGCAGAATGAGTGTGGAGTAAAAAGATCAGAGAATCAGTAAACAAGTCTAATCTGCCTAGCCAGGTTTAATCCTCACCAAAATACAGCGGGTGGCACTCGCCCCTTGCCTGTCCACGTATCAGGAGGGAGAGAAAAGCGAGAGAGAGAGTTAGAGAGGGAGTAACATGAGACTACCATTTACAGGCTACATTTTCAAGTCTATAAGGTAGCTGAAGTAGCACAGCTTAACGTTACTGCCAGCGTCATAACTCTCAAGCATGCTGAATACTCCCACACATGACTCCTCTCAGGTGGGTCCTTTTATTTGCCCAGACCCACCCCTCAGCAGACAGCAACAACGCTGATTGGTGACTGGCTGACTGGCCTAGACAGAGCCCGGATCTCAACCTGATCCAACATCTTTGAGATAAAATGCTTCTGTGTATTCAAATGGCAGGCATTATTACCCTGCATCACTACCTGGCCTCACTGGTGCTCTTGTGGCTGAATAAAAGGGAATCCACAAAGTCATATGCACTCACAGGGTTGGGGGAGGTTATTTGAATGTGTAGATATCAGAACTCATCAGAGCATTTGTTGTTCTGCCTTATTCTGGGATTCGAAAAAGGCATCAAACAAGTTAGCGTAAAAGCGTCCATGTTTTTCATATGTAGTTTTTGCCATTATCATAACTTAACAAGTTAACAGAACAGAAAGAGAACAATATACTGAAGAGATTAATTCATATGTAAACTGTATGTTTTGCTTACTTCTTAATTTTAACTAACATTTTTTTCCTATGAACATTTTGAAAGGAAACTTTTTTTTAAAAATTCTAACAAAAATTGACTTTGACGATAAGAGGTGTGCTTAACTAGTTACAAAACTAAACAAAACTACATTTTTCAAGAGGCCCAGCCTGAAATTGGCCTAGAATTAATTACTGAAGTGATTTGAGACCTTTTTCTTTCAGCCTGGGTCCAGGATGTGCATCATTAGCTTTGCAAAGTTGATTGTAATGAAATGGCTTTCAATTTGGAAACCACTTAGAACTACTTAGAACGCACATAGCCTGGAGTAATCTGCACAGAAATTAGACCTTAGAGCAGTGGAAGAATGTAGTCTTACCTAATGGTCACGTTTAATTATTTTCCTGGCTGCATTTTTACTCTGTTGCAGCTAAAGAAGACTGAAACGGGCTATTCTAAAAATGCGGCTATCTATTCTAATATTGGGTCTGCACTTCTTAAGGAATATTCTAATATTTGCTTTGTAGAGCGATGGTAACCTGATGTTTTGTTCCTGACATATTCATATAATAATTTGTATAGTAATCTGTTTGCCTGCACCAACCCCACATACGATAGTACTTAAATACGCTATATATCCAAAAGTTTGGAGACACCTGAATATCAATAGGGAGATTGTCCCCCTTTGCTACAGTATCATCCTCTACTCTTCTGGGAAGGCTTTGTACTAGATGCTGGAACATTGCCGTGAGGATTTGATTGCGTTCAGCCACAGTAGCATTAGTGAGGTCAGGTACTGATATAGGGTGATTAGTTCTGGATCACTCAGACTCCTCCCAAATGTATTGAATGGAGCTCCATCACTCCAGAGAACACAGTGCCACTGCTCCACAGCCCATTGCTGGTGGGCTTTGTGCCCCTTTTGCTGACGCTTGGCATTGGGCATGGAGATCTTAGGCTCAGGTGCAGCCGATCCAGAAACATTGTATTCTGTTGTCAATGCTATTCTTTTGAGATTATACAAGCTGTAGTGCACCTTGAATTCACTAATTAGAAAGGGTGCCTGGATACTTTTGGCCATGCGGTTATGTGCAAAATCAGAGAGCTTTTACTTGTAATTTATTTAAAAGCTCCAGTCAGCACAGACATTAAGTACAAGTTATTCATTCTTCAGCTTCTGGAAAAAAACATATATACATTCAAGAAAATTACACAGAAGCTTCAACAACCAAGCTGCCTTTATTGCAGCTTCAGTTTTTTTGTAGGCTTGCTTTTAGTTTTTCAAAGAAATCTGTAGGGATATTTTTCAACACCTCTTAGGTTCAGTCTTAGAAGCTGGTTGCATTTTTGTTTCTCATGATCTCATGTAGTTAAGTAATCGCATGTTAAGGTCTGGACGCTGGGGTGACCAGTCTATTGTTCTGAGAACATCAGCAGCTTCTTTGTTTGATTTATCTTATATATGATATCCTCTGTAGTATTTCTTGAAAAATGGATAACTTGGCCAATTTAATTTTAATGGCTGGAAATAAAATAAACAGTGTTCTCTGACGTTTACACAGTTCTGTGTACAGTAGATACTGTTTTGACCACTAATTGGCTATACATTCTAGCTAAAATGTAACTAGATCAGATTGAGGTGTAGTCCAGATGTGACAAACTGTGTGTGTGTGTGTTTCTGTGTTTGTGTGTGTGTGTTTCTCTCTCTCTCTGTGTATGTGTGTGTGTGTGTGTGTGTGTTTCTGTGTGTGTTTCTGTGTGTGTGTGTGTGTGTGTGTGTGTGTGTTGTGTCTGTGTGTGTGTGTGTGTGTGGGTGTGTGTGTGTTTCTGTGTGTGTGTGTGTGTTTTTCTCTCTCTCTCTGTGTATGTGTGTGTGTGTGTTTCTGTGTGTGTGTGTGTGTGTGGGTGTGTTTCTGTGTGTGTGGGTGTGTGTGTGTTTCTGTGTGTGTGTGTGTGTGTGTGTGTGTGTGTGTATACACACTCTCTGCAGACTGAAGAAAGAGCTAGAGGCGCATAAGGAAGGAGAGCTGGAGCTGCTTCGTGAGGCCCTCAGCACAGAAATTCAGTTCCTCCGTTTGGTAAACACAGTTTAATTGGTCACAATGTAGAGCAGTGGAGGTTTTTAGTTTCCATTTTGTTATAACAGCAGATTAGAAAGTAGGGCTGCATGATATGGACAGAATACCATATTGTGATTATAGCATACATTAAAAACACTTTTGTGAGTCAATAATGTGACATGATTAAAGACTGGCCTGCATTATTCTCACAAAAAGTATTTGTTTGTTGGATAACGTGAATGCCTTGACTCATCCACACACACAGAAGCAGTGATCTGAAACATTCCATATTGGTCAGAGTTCTCAGGGAGGGCACATTTGCATGTTGTATACCAGTATTGCAAATCCAGTATCACTAAGAATATGTTGTGCAGCCCAGTTAGAAAGTAAACCTTTGACAGTTTTACAAGGTCATGAATGTAGCAGCAGCATTTTAATAGCCGTGTTTATTTGAGCTGATTTTCAATCATTTATGGGCGTTCATAAAATAATAATGACCTTCTCTTGGCAGAAATTATCACAGAAGGGCAGCGTGTGCTGAAATCTGTTTATTCAGACAGATACCTGTGATGTTCAAAGGTAAGTTGAAAGCAGAAAAATCTAGACAGCCTGTTCCATTTTGATGTTTTCTGGTCTGCAGTCCAGACAGCTTGTTATGAAGTTTGATGAAACGTCCACAAAACCTTTAAGTGAAGGTCTAGAGAATGGGCTGTACAATTCATCCCTCATGTGCCTGAGCTCATTTCTCTCTCCCACACAAAATGTCAGGCCGGTATAGCTGCTTCCTGAGTGGAACCTAAGTTTCTGTCATTGTGAATCACTCGTCCACATAGTATTCCTATACATCATTGCTTTGTTGAAATCTGTAGAGACCTCTAGTGGCAGAAGCTAAGATTGACAAGGATTCAGTAACCACCATGACTGACCAAATCGCAATGAGAAGTGCAATTTGTCACGGTCCTGGTCACAAATAACTAGATATTTGTGTGTAGTGTAGAACATTCCTCACTACTAAAGCAAATGCCACCTGATAGGAAAAACAATGCCTTCTCTTGTATTCTTCTTACTGTCATTGTTGTTATTATTAATTTAGTTTTTATGTTGCATTAGTGAAATGATTTACAGTTTTTAAACTGCATCATGTTAAAGTAACTGGCCAGCTAATTAGTGATGCAAAGGACACCATTTTTCAAGTTTGAAATGTGATGCACATTGGATGTTCAGTGTATTCACATCTTACCAGACTATGAGCAATAAGAAATACATCCATATTCACATAACATACACATACATACCATATATCTTTGTTGTTGCTAATATAATCATATGAATAATTTATTTGCAGGCAGCTGTGTCCAAACCTGGAAGGTTTCAGAGACAGTAAGGACATATTTTGTACACAGCACTAATGTAGTAGAACTGAATCTTTTCTTTTTTATTATTATTATTTGGTTATAAATTCGCTATATCTGCATGCTATTAGATTTAGAGAATTGACCGTCTTTAGTACTGTTCTGTCTTTCAGTGCAGTGTCTGTTATTTAAATACAAGTTTTCTGTGTTTTGCCTTTTTCGATGCATGAGCAGGCCATCTAGTGGCCATTATCTAACAGTACATCACATACATTTGTGATTGTGGTTTGGCCTTATAGTGCACATTAAACATCACAGATGCTACTTGTTTATATACTACTGATTTTTGAAAATGCATAATTATTTTGTATTTGACAATTTAAATAGATCAGGCAGCACCAGCACACTGTTGCAAACTTCAAATGCAGATATTCATACCAGTGACAGAAACCAATTTGACCAGGTATAAAACATACAGGTGAGCTGCAGCTAGAGCACTGAACAAACTTACTACTAGAGGGTAGTGCAGGGTATTGGCAGCATCTCAATGCAAACGTCACTATATGATACATTACAACAGTGCTTCATACCCGTTGTACAACACATTTGGTTTTACTACTACAATAATGAATCAATACATAGTGTTCTGGGCTTGTTTACTTTAATGTTTACCTTAAAATTGGTTTCGAAAAAAAAACTACAATAGTAGTACCATGATTAAAATATATAATCTAAATAATATTGGGGGGAGCTTCTAAGGCCTGTTTTACAGTTATGGTTCACTGGAGTGCTGGTCAGAGCAGAGCAGAGTTGATGATGCATGGCTTTCTTCACTTTTAATCACAAGATTAATGGAGAATGTGCGATAGATGGTTCTATATAGAACATTTTGAAAAGGGTGCTATAGAGCACCCAAAATGGTTCTTCTATTGTTACAAGCTTGGCATTGTAACAATAAAAGAACCCTTTTGGGTGCTGTAGAGAACCATTTTTGAAAAGATTCTATATAGAACCATCTATAGCATATTCTATCTTATCAATCTGAAGAACTCTTTCATGACACAAAGAACCCTTTAATCATGCAAAGGGTTCTTTGAGTGTGCATGGTTCTATATAGAACCATTTTCGTTACTAAAGAACCATTGAGGAACCACCTTTTTTTTTAAGAGTGTAGGCTTTACATGTGTGAGCTTGTGACTGTAAAATTAAGAGCAAACAACAAAATGTTTACTCCTGCACCCAGTGCTGAGAACAGAGTGAAACATGTTCTTCTCAAACGCGTTCATACACATAATCATGAAGATAGAGCAGACATGTTGGCCACATACTGGGTGTTATATAGATCGCAGTACTCTCAGGTTTGAATGGAAGATCAGTTTCACTCATTCATACACGCCACATTTAAACGTAGATCTATCACAGCCTTCGCTGTATTGGTACGCATGTCGCCACATGTTTGTCACTGATACATTGGCGTGTCGATATTTTGAATACAGCTCTTATACTTGGTCATGTTGGAGGGTATACATTCGGGACAAGATAGTAATACACACACACACACACACACACACACACACACACACCCTTCTGGGTCGCAGGGGGAGCCAAAGCCTTACTTAGCAGTCATTGGGAGGAAGGCAGGATACACCCTGGACAGGTCACCAGTCCATCGCAGGGCAGACAGACAGACATTTACATTCACACACACAATCACACTTGGGGGCAGTTTAGCATGTCCAGTCGGCCTGACTGCATGTCTTTGGACTGTGGAAGGAAACCAGAGAACCCAGAGGAAACCCACGCAGACACGGGGAGAACACAGTAAGGACCCTGGTCGCCCGGCCGTGGAATCGAACCCTTCTTGCTGTGAGGGACAGTGCTACCCACTGCGCCACAATGCCGCCCAAGAAAGTAATAATGCTAAAATAATAATTAAAATCAAATCAGTAATAGATAAACACAGTTTCACAAGACAAAGCTTAGTAATAAAAGCACAGATATGTGGCAGAGTGCCATATTCACAGTAGCAACGTAGAGAAGAGTGTGAGGGATGAAATGAAAAGCTTTGAAAAAAATTGTAACTAGTTGGGTATTACTTCTATTAGGCCTACTTGTTAGCTCCATTAGCTTTTTTTCTCCCTTGAACATACGTAAACTTCAGGAAATCATATCTTGGCTGATCATTTACATTTGTAGTAAAATGAAGAGCTGTGCATAAACTTTATCTCTGCAAACCTACCTAAAGTATCTACTACAGTCATAAGTAATACTGTAGTAATACTGCCAAGTTCAGACCTTTGATTGACCTAAGCCTAATTCGGACAGTATTAAGCTTATATCGAGTCCACGGTAGTTTCTTATGTTATTTTATTACAGCTCAGATCAGTCGTGTCTGATTTACAATAACATTAGGTATTAGCTTCCTGTGATCACATAAACACTTGCTGTCCAGATGTGAGAGTTTTATCACTGAGGAGACGTGTAAATTTGTTATTACAGACACCCCCATGATGAACTCATCCAATCTGAATAGGGCTTTAACCAGATGCGTATTCATCCCAATATGTCACATTAATTTGGAGTGAAACTGGGCAGACTGAATATGACTAGACTTAGTTTTGAAGACTTATAGATGACTGTCTTACTGAGAGACCCTGAGAGCATAGATGGTCTACAACTACTGCTAAAAGGTGTTACATAGTTCCAGATGTTGGTGTCTACTTTAGATCCAACACTTTTTTTTGAATATTTTGGCAGAATACCTACTGTTAGGCAGTAAAACTCATTAGTTACACATTCTGTAAGTAAACATTTGTGTCTGGGTAGCATAACCACCGTAATATGTAGCCATCTGACTCGTTATGACAGCCAAATTGACTTTAATTCTACCTGGGAAGCTAAACTACTGACTAAATGCTGCCAGCGAGTGGTGGACTCTGTATCACTCTATCTGTGATGACTGTTTTTGCTCATTTTGATAATTGCTTTATATCCTACCAGGTTTTTTCCTCCTAGGATTTGCAGCCAGCAGAGCTGTGTTGGTAAGCGTGACTGTGATAATGCGCTCCTCTTGGGAAAACATGCCATTACAAAAGACTGATGGACTCACTTTCATAGATTTTGTTTCATCAAATTTTACTCAATTACCAGGTTAAATTTGTATTTAAATCATGTGTTTTTGTCACTAATTATTTTGACTAAATTAACATCGACTTTCAGTGGACAGTCCACAATGATTTGTAATTTAGTCGCAGGCCAAGCTTAATCTGTTCAGACAACCAACCTGCTGATTTGCTGACATCCAGTAAAAATGGCTGGTCTGAATACTTATGAAGTCCATTGCTCTGCTCTGCCTTCTGCCACCTGCTTCTGTGCTGGATAATTGCCTGGACACTGTTCAGCTTGGCCAGGTTTCATTAGACGAGGGGTGGGGTGGCGGACGCTTTGCGGAATACGTAAGAATGTAGCACAGCAGAGTCCTGGTATTAGCATTCCACAGGCTCCTGAGAGAACGGCAGTGTCTTGAAAGAAGAGAAAATTACAGGAAGGGTGATCCAGAGGATTCGTCTTTTTGCCCTGGCCCTGTCCAGCACATCAAAAAGCCTGGCTGCTGTTATGGCTTGCCAGGCTACTCGTATTTCTCTTTTATCTGGAAACAAGCGAAAAACATGCTCTTATCTTACATAATATGGGGACGAGTTTTTCTAAGGTTGAAAGGCACAATAATACAAAAAATATATTTGCAGGGCACTGTGGTTCTCGAAGGACTGGGATCGGAAAACATTTGTCCAGATTCGCCGACCACAATCGATCAGACATCAAGAATCATTGTACCCCCTTCAGTATGCACTCCCTCATGGTAAAATAAATTGAAATGAAGCGCTGTCGTCTCACGGCAAGAAGGGCGTGGGTTCAGTTTCCTGGCTGGGTGACCAGGGTCCTTTATGTGTGGAGTTTGCATGCAGTCAGACCAATTGGAGACACCAAAATGCCCCTAGGCAACCTGTCCAGGGTATTTCCCGACTTCTGCCCAGTGACTGCCGGGACAGGCTCCAGCAGCCCCCCATGAGGGTAAGCGGTTTAGAAGATGGATGAAATTTGGGTTCCTTTACAGAAAGGTAATTTAGATTAAAGCTAGCACCAGTACACTTCTGTGTCTTTTAGTTTTCTCTGTATTTATTGTCTATTG